TCTCAGACATGACAGCACAATTTCCTTATCTGTCACTTACACTAGGAGGCATGCCTCCTATGATCTCAGACATGACAGCACAATTTCCTTTCTGTTTTCTTCCTGATTTAGAATTATAGATACTATGTTGGGGAAGTTTCAACAGGGATAATTTCTTGAATTTGGAAATTTTTTCTGGATTCACTGTTTAACTGCCAGAGGTCTGGGATCAAACATGTTTCACTTAATGTTTGTTTCTATTGCTTCCCAATTTGTCAAAGAGTGGCTCTGATAACCTACATGCCCTGGCTTTCCCTAATTGATGTGAGGGTCTGTGGAGTTTGGCTGTGTTTCTGATATAATGGAGCTGGATATGTGTTCTGGGGCCCAAGTACTTGAGTGTTGCTGGAAAGAATCTCATAAAATGACAACACTCACATGCAAGGACTCATTTTCAACTAAAGAGTGATGGTCCCAGTGGCAGGTTGACTCCTCCTGTATCTCTTGATGATAATAAAATGTGGCCCTGGGGGAAGTGTTTCTGCTCTTCCTTACGTAAGCCTCGTTCAGCATGTCCCTTATGGAACCAGGCCAGGTTCTCCATGCTGGCAATCATAACATCAATACCTATTCTTGCTGATTTCCTAATATAATCCACCAAACACACCCTGACACGTCTGCCCACCCATGCTCTCGCCTCTGCCTGGTAAGATGGAGGAGAACGATGCAGGAGTATTCGGAGGCTGAGAGGTCGCTGCTCATATACAAGCCCCTTGAGTATGTTTTCTGACTCAGTCTCAGTCACCCTGCAGTCACTCTGATTGCTCATATTCCTCAGCAGTGCAAGGTGGGGAGCAGAGCTTCAGCTGCTACAAGAACAAATGACCTGTGGTGGCCGCTGGTCTCCAGAGATGGCTCCCATGATTCCTCTTCTCTCTGTAGGTTCATGATGCTTCTCCAAAAAAAATAAAAATGGACCTTACTTTCCCTCCCTTTGAATCTGGGATGGCCTCATAAGTGCTTTTACTATCCAGTGTCATAGAAGTGACATTTTGCAACTTCAGAGCCAATGCCTTAAGAATAGGAGTTTCCGCTTCCTCCAACTTAGAGGATTTGTTCTTGGGACACTCTGAGAGTCCAGCTGCCCTGATATAAAATACCCAAGCTACATGGAGAGGCCACACAGAGGAGAATGGAGGCTCCCTGATATACACTCTTAGCTGAGGTCCTGGCCAACAGCTACCGTCCATATCTAGGTACCTGAACGAACCATCTTGAATGTTGCAGCCCAATTGAGCCTTCAGGCATTTGTTACCCCAGCCAAAAATTGTATCAAAAGGACCACCCACACTAAGTCCAGACAACTCAGCTCACAGAATCAATAAAAATAATAAAATGGTTATTGTTTTAAGACACAAAGTTTTGGTGTGGTTTGTTGCCCAGTAGTAGATAACTAACACATTCTCCCTGTTGAGAAGTCTAAGAGGCTAGGATTCTTTCACAGAACTTTGCCTCATTAAGCTCCACGTAAATGTGTCTGGTCTTCAACTGGTCTTGAGTGTGTAAGATCAGATGATCAAGGGCTCACAGGCCCTGGGAAACAGAAGGGGCCACTAAATACTACTGATGTAACAGCTGCGGGTTTTGCTTCTGATTTGTTTTGTTTTATTTCTAATTTGGGATTACCTTTGAAAGAAGATTAAGGACAAGCAACATAAAAAATCTGAATTACTAAATCTTAGCTTTTGAAACCCCCCAAAAGATTGAAATAAATTAAACATTTTTTTCATAATGAAAAAAAAAAATGACTGATCAATCCCTGGTCTCAGTTCAAAGCCACAAAGAATTTAGCTCCAATAGGAGGAAAAGAAAACCCACTGTCCAGCTTCCTAGACCATAGCTCAGGCTCTGTCTCTTCAGCTTTTTGTGAGCATGCAGTAGGCAGGCACATTTTGTCTGCTCTATACACAAAATCTCAGCACAAAATCTCTCTGTACACAAAATCTGACCCTGTCTTGGGGCAGTGACTGTAAGACTCAGATGTAAGGAACATGATGTCTTTAGTAGGAAGAAGGAATGTAGTTGATGGTGAAAAAGGAGGCCCCAGAAATTCGATCCAAATAAAGCCAGCCCCAACCATCTGAATCATCCCAACTTAAGCATCAGACATGTGAATGAAGAACCCATTTTGGAAGGTCTTAGGTTAGCCATCGTACTAGATCCTACCTAGATTCCTAACTCCTAGAATCATGAGAAATAATTGTTTTAAATGTCAGATTTTAGCTACTAAGGAAAGGACAACAATTTTAAGCATTAGATAATGAAAGTATCCAGGTAACAATCCGAGCTGGCCTCTTGTTACTAGTTTCAACCCCCACACATCTGTTCAAGTTCAAGAACTTACTGGTCCAGACTCACTAGTGTCCACCCAAGTTGTGTTGTGTTCTGTGTACATGTCAGCCAAAACACAGGCAATGCTCATTTTGCACAAGGCTCTGCAGAGAACCCAGCAAAAATAGGCACTTAATAAAAGGCTTCAAGTCGACACTCACAGATAATATGATCATGAGTCACATCATCTATTACAGCCCAGGGAAGAGACCACTTTTCCCTTCTTAGTCACCTAATCATGCCAGCAGCATCAAGGCAACCACTTGCACGTCCTTTTAATGCCAAGGGCCTCTCACTGATAAACCTTGCTGAGGCAAAAATTCTCTTTTCATCCATGGGCTTTCTCAATTTGGAGCCTCTTTAGATCACATGCCTTTTGTTTTCTCCAAAGCCGACACACGGTGCTTCAGACTCCTACTTACATGGAAGGAGCTCAGTGTCAACTGAATGAAAAGTCGTATAAGTTTTGAAAATCCTTGTACTTGATCATCAGTGATGAAGGAGAACAGAATCTCGTGAACACCCAATAAAGGAATGAGGACAAGCGTTGATTTTGCCAATCTGTAAACGACAATCAAATAATGGTCACAAAGGCCATGTAGGGAATAGGCAACACATTCCACGCCCTTCTGTGCACGCCTGTATTGAAGCTCTTTTTGCATTGATAAATAGTTGATTTTCCAGTGGGTCTCTTTAACCACACATGTCATGCCTAAGGGCCACTGTGGTCTTGCTCATTATTGCATCACTGCACCTGACACATGACAGATGCTCGGGAAACATGAATTGAATGAATGAATGAATTCCTCCATGTAGGTTATCATTATCATTATCAGCTATAGAGACCTGCAGAGTTTAATGCTTTTCCTGATGGATAGATTTCCAGGTGAGTAGCTGCAACCCTGGGATGTTTCACCTACCAGGTCTGACACCTTTCCTGTTGCCTGGCTAGCAGGTACCTCTATCTCTTTCTCTACTCAGGACCGTTGACATCAGTACTTCCAACATCACCCTGGGAAGGGAGAAAAAGTAAACTGCCCAGGCATACTCTTAGTAGCAAATCCAGGTCTGGAAACGGGGCTTCTGCCTTAACCCCAAGGCCCTGAATATGCCACACGGGGCTTTGCGGTCAACATCACATTGCCCCTCAATCCTGGTGACAGCAAGGGAAGGAAATTAAAAACTGATCCTCCTCATAAAAGCGCCGCATGGAGGCTCACTGTTGTATACAGTCTACACACACAGAAACACAACATTCCTTGGTACCACCCACGTGTGAAGTACACAGCTGGGCCCCAAATGCTCCAAACTGTTGGTTCCCAAATGTGGCTATTAAAATTCCTTACAGAGCTTTCAAAAATATACATATATAGCTTCCTGGGCTCCAGTATCAACTCTCTGAATCCAAACTTCTGAAGGTTGTGTCCCAGTAATGTGGAATTTTTAAGGAACTCCCTACAGGATTTCAAGAAGCGAGCAGGTTTACAGACAACTGCTATTCACCTTTGAGCTACTTGATTTGCTAACTACATTAGCAAAGGTAACTCACATTCAGGGTACAAACAAAAGTACTGTCTTATATACATTGGAAAGAGGAGCTTAATTGTAATGACTTTTTTTTTTTTTTTTAGCACAAATAAGTTCTCATAAAAGGCCAGACTAGGAGGAGGTCCCCCCCACCAAATCTCAAGAAGTTAAAAGATAAAGACACAGAATAGCATCAGCAGTTTCTTATGGAAGGTTTAACGCTATGCGAGAGAAAGAGCTTACTATGGATTCTGGGCCTGTGAGAGCCATTCAAATGCAATATTGTCAGCGAAACAGACAAATGAAAAACTCAGAAAAACTCACCTTTGTGCCCTGAATACATCTAAAGCCAGCAAGAAGACAGCAGGAGCCACCACAAAGGAGGGACTGCACCTAGTCACATGGCTGTGTGACCATCAGGAGAGGCCAGTGAGGTGGAGTCACTTCTCTGGAGCTGAGTTCAGATCCAACCCACCCCCACGCCACCCACATGTGAGTCACTTCCCTAGACAGCACGAACGTGCTCCCAATGAGAGAGAGTATTTTTATTTTGTATTTCTGAAAAGTGTCTTTAAAGCTTTCTGGCTCAGGGGCTGCAAACTGGCAACACTCGTGGTATTTGACCTGCAGGAATATTTGCTCAGGCTGCAGAATGATTTTTGTTATTGGAGTTATCTTTAAATTATAAGGAGATTTCCATCAAAGATGTCTAGATTTTCAGCTTCTTTTGAAAAATGGGAGATCTGGCAACAATGGCCCTAAATTCTTACTCGGTAATCATTGGCCACAGCCAGGTGGTGGCAGACACTTTGGAGAAAAACTGTGATCTCCAGCCCCTACACAGCCTAAACTAATCGGGCGTGTTTCTTACTTGGCCCTTGCAATTGTTTGGATTTGTGAGCCTTGCTCTGGGTTACTTGGATTTTAAGGATACACACACATACTTACATGCACACTTGTGTCTGACCATTAACTTATTCTGGAGCCATGTTATGGCATTATGGTGTTTTAAAAGAAACATTTTATTTTGGAATAGTTTTAAATTTACAACAAAGTAGTCAAGGAGGTACAGAGAGTTCCCATGCATCCTTCACTTGGTTTCCCTGATTTTAATGTATTATGGCAGGTTTCTCAAAACTAAGAAACCGATATCAGTACATTACTAGTAACTAAAGTTCAGATCTATGGATTTAATGTCCTTTCCACATGCCTGGATCCCATACCGCATTTAGTATAGGACAGTTTTTTGGTTTTTTTTTTGAGACAGAGTTTTACTCTGTTGCCTTGGGTAGAGTGCCATAGTATCATAGCTCACAGCAACCCCAAACTCCTGGGCTCATGCAATTCTCTTGCCTCAGCCTCCTAAGTAGCTGGGACTACAGACATGTGCTACCACACTCAGCTGATTTTTCTACTTCTAGTAGAGACAGAGTCTCATTCTGGTGAGCTCAAGCAATCCACCAGCCTCAGCCTTCCAAAGTGCTAGGATTACAGATGTGAGCCACCACCGTATCTGGCCTAGTATGAGATGATTTTTAAAGAATAATCATCTTTTTATGAAGTTTTGGGCCATCCATCCTTCTGGATGGATATGAGAAGAGCTTCTCTACTCTTCACCTTATTTTAACTTCTCCTTAGACAAAGTACTATTTGTGTCCCTGCTCAGAAGCAAATTCATAAATAGTAATAGAAGTTTACTTGTATGGAATATGTTTATGCTTATTTTTATCCATAATTGTTAGTTTATTTAAATAGTTTTATTGCAGATATTTAACCATTCAACAAATATTTATGGAGCATCTACTCTGGGCACATGAGGCGTTGGAGTCAAAGGCACTAGTCGGGTGCAAGGAGAGTCCCTCGGCCTGGGTTCAAATCCCAGTGTCACCAAATATTAGCAGTATGATTGTGAGCAAATTAATTAACCTCTCTGTTAGTTTCCTCATCTGTAAAAAGAGAACTATACTAATAATACTATCTACTTTACAGGGCTGTCATAAGGATTAAACATATAACATGGGGTAAACTCTCAGAATAAATAGTATCTGACATGATAAATGATTAATCAATTTTAGTTTTTTTAAAGGAGCTATCCTTGTCCTTCAGTTGCTTACAACTTCCATGATTTTTGATCAATTTTACTTCCACATGTGCCATTTTTAGTCTTTAGTTGCTGATGGGTTTCAGAATACACCATCTTGGCATACTGAGTATTTTAAGCTGAAGGGGTTTAAGAAAACTGCAGAGGCAGGAAGATCTCTCTGACCTTCTCCCGCTCTCCTTCCCTAAAGCAGGTCATAAAACTGAGGAAGGATTTTCTAACCTTCTCCTGAAACAGGTCAGAAGACTCTCAGGTGAAAGGTGCCCTCCTTATATCTGGAGAGAAGGAATATTCTTATTTCTGAAGACACAGGGACACAGAAGAATCTGAACACACAGGCCTTGCTAAGTTCCCCCCAGTTTATCACCATTAGCTCACACTCCTTTTGCCCGGTGAAATTTCTCCAGGACTGTCCACCATCAAACCTAACATAAAATTACACAGATTTGACCACCTCTTGGGGTCTTCATTTTTTTCTAAAGGCTTCCATGTCACATAAACTCACGTAGTAAGTTTGTTTGCTTTTTCTCCTGTGGATCTGTCTTTGCCTGTTTGATTTTCAGACCCAGCCAGGAGCCCTACAGGGTCTGGGAAAACTTTTCCTCCCCTGCATCGCCCACCAAGGAGCCCTTTCCGAAAGGACTGGAGCTTAGCATGTGAAGAAATGACTGTCCTTTATAAATGCACTAGAGTTCCCTTCCTGTGTGTCACATGGAGTAACGACCATTTATCTAGGGGAAAGAGCCACTTCTGTCCTGGAAACCACAAGAATAGAGAACTCTGGTGGAGCTGAGGGTCTGCTTGGTCTCTGTCCCCATTCGAGGACATTGCCTGCCCTGTTCAGAGCCCTGAAGTTGTGCACCTCAGTTCTCTCCAAGCCAGACAGATGGGGCATTTACTGGTGTCCTGTGCTTGATGAGGGAAGCCCAAGGACAAGGGTGAGAACTCCGGAAAGTCTTTCTGCTCCTAGAAACTTGCCTCTTGGACTGAACATACTAGTGTTTCATCTAAACTTTCCTAAAATATCTTCCTGGAGGGGAGCCAGATGATGGTTACACTCTGAAAGTTCTCAAAATCTCTGAGAGCTGAAGGACACCTGTACCTACCAGAGTTTGGAAGAAATGCACTGGGCCCCATTGTCCCCTCTTCCTTACCCCATCAGAGGCCTTCAGAGGAAAATAAACACGGAGGGGGATGAGGAAGAGGAGCGGCCTTCCTGCACAGAAGAGAGCAGTGTAAGCTGAACAGCTGGGGGGTGCTGTGACCCATGGGAGTGACATTAGGCAGCCCTCCTAGGACTCGGAAACGAGGGGGGTTAGCACTGCTTACTGAGAGAAGAAGGGGCAAGTGAGTTCATAGATGCTGTAGAATTCACCAGCACAGGTAGTAAAATAAAGTGGCCTAGGTATCTCCTGAGAGACAGGTCCCTGCCTTTTGCTTATTCATAAGCACAAGCTAATCAACTGCCTTGTAGGCTGCATGGAGAAAGAGCAAGTGAACAGAAGACCACAGCCAAGCAAAATGAGGGGAAGAGCCGAGAAGAGGAAGTTCTCAGCACTTCCCACCCCAACCTGCAGAGGGCACATGGGCTCCTTCTCAACAGGTAGGTGGAGCTGTGGGTGAGGGGTGGTTCCTCAGTGCCCTCTCTGGCATCCTTCAACACCAGCAACTCTGCTTTCACCACACCATCAGCAAACAACGTTCTGGTGACCTCTTTGGCTTTCTTGGTGTTTCCATGTTGAGCATGTGGGCTTTAGAAAAGAATGCCTTCCTTCTACCCCCACCTTCCTAGATCTGAAACATGAACAATGGTCTAGTTTATACACATTAGCCTCTTGTGAACTCAGGTAGTGTCAGTCATCCCTCCAAAGTCTCAGCCACTTGGGAACAGAGATGGGTTCCCCAGCTGGTGGCAAACTCACCAAGACAAGGCATCTCGCCCTGGAAGGCCTTCAGATAGACATGGACCCAGGTTCCTCTTTCCAAGCTTTCTCCTTGTATAAGGGACAGGGAGGGGAGGAACAAAGGAGTTTCCAGGCAGATTGCCTGTGTCAAGCAGGGTGACTCTTACTCAGTCATCCTGAGTCACCATTCAGCCAGGAGGGTCTCCCCACTGTCTTGATTTACCCTTCCCTAGATCAATGGCTCCCGGCTGTGTGTGCATGCTCCAAGGCTGTGTAAGGAGATTTATTTGATATTTCAAGAAAATATAGCAGTAAAAGAGAACAGAAATTTTATGTATGTTAATGCATATCTATCTTTTTACATGTTCTATTTTGGGATATCTTAAAATGTATATTTGTTCATTAGACTATACACACCACACACACACTGTGAGGGACAAATTCAGATTTCTTACTGATAGAGATGCATGGTTAGAAAAGTTTGGAAACCACTACCTTGGATAACTCTACAGGGGACTATGGAAAAGACAATATGGAGGCTGCAGTGACATCTGTCATGGCCCGAGCAAGAAGGTCCATGTGTTATTTCATGATTGCATCAGATCCAGTGAAGCTCCACTCTGGCTGGGTATGCAAGTCCCCTGGGAGACTGTTAGAAGTCCATCCCACACTTACTGAGGCAGAATACCCAGTGGTGGGGTTCACAGGGTGTACTTGTGGCTGGATCTTAGGGGACATGTACAATGGAAAACTATTATGGGGCTTCCTGTGGGTCTGGGTATGGGACAGGCCCTAATGGTAGATTTGGGGGGCACAGAGCAGCAGGGTTTGGGCTCTGAGTCTCTCAGGATTCATCTGCTTCCTGCTTCTGGCCAGTTTCTAGGGTACCGTGGTTATTGAGATGACTGCCTTCCCTGAGTGGACCCAAACAGCCGGGGCTGGAGCAGGCCCTGGAACTCCATCCCCAGAGAGCAATGAGAGAGGCCAAGACTTGGGAAGGGGGCCAAGAAGGCTGCTCAGCCACTTGGAGTCTCGACTGCAGGCGCCGAGAGAGACAGTGTGGCTCCCTGGAGCCTAGGCCGGTTCCCCAGGGCTGGAGGTTTCTGCAAAATGTTTGGGCCAAAGCCCCGACTAGCGACTATAGTATATATCTGCCCAGTCCTGAACTGGGTGTTTACCCTTCTAGACCTCATGGAGGGAGGGTTTAGGAAGACAGGATTCAGGGTTTGAGTAGATTGAGCCACCCATATCTACACCCTCCTTGCAGCATCATAACAAGCAGGAAAAGGGGTGTGCAGTGACACTCCCCTTTTACACACCAGAAGGCAGGCCAAGGGGACCAAACTGCTTACCTAAGGTCAGTTAGTGAGTCTGGGGTCACAGCTAGCACCCTCTCTCCTGACTCCTGTTCCACAACATCCCAGTCCTTAGCAAAGTAAAATGTGCACTCCTCCAGGCAGGGCCCACATCGTATTTACCTTTTGTTCTGAGCACAGAGCTGGGTACATTATAGGCATTCATTACATGTTTGCCAGATAAATGCACAAACTCCTTTTCCAGCACCTGGGCCAGGCCTTAGAAAGGGTGAGAAACAGGGCTAGGGCCATGGTCCCCCACGCCCTCCTCCTCTGCCCTGGACTAGAAGGCTCACCCTTAGCACTGCTGTGTGGGTCACACTCCTCCACAGGTGCCCTGCTGAAGTACTCCGGCCACACGAAAAGTAAGGATAACTAGGAAAAGAGGGAGGGAGCCCCCTCACATTCAGGCTGTTACAGGAATGGAGACCTAATAAACACATGTGATCTGGTTTACTGTGAATGGGGACAGCTATCATTACAGAAAGAAGGGCAGTTGTAGCAAAGGCAAGTCACCAAGAAACTGACTGTGACTATGAAGAATGTATTTCCTTGGACTCTAAAAGTTTGTGGTCTCATTTCTTAAGGTCTCAAAAATACCCAAATACTCTCTTCTGGGTTATGAATAGGTCTTTCATTCTGTTGTTTCAAATCCTTCCCCAAAGAAGACAACTGCCAAACTTCCCTTCATATAAGACTTCCCTTTTCTTATTCTGAGGGGATTCTTAATGACTTCTTGGAGCAGGAACGTGTGTGCCCTTGACTGCTCACCACTTACTGCATTTTCCTGGGGTCAGAAGGTCCTCATCATTGCCAAAAGGCTCCCATGGTCCTCCGACACTCTTTTTTGGACGGGCTCTCCAAACATACCAATGAAACTTGCTCCCCACGTCCCAGAACATCAAGTTGTATAGCCAGAGGAGTCAAAATAACTTTGGACAATCTCAGGCCACTCACCTGTATTTATAATCTCTGAAGCACATTTGATGGGCTTTGAGCTTAGAAATGAGAAGCTTGAGAATTTTCAAGAAGATGAAGAAATTGACCTTGAAAAAAAAATAGATAGGGGTGAGTAAATAATGAACTCCATATCACTTAGGATATCAAGCACATTCTCGGCTTGATCAGCAGATCCTCATTTGTGTAAACCCGGGGTAATTTGGCAGTTAGCTGGTCAGGCAGTAAGGCATTAATGGTAATCTCCATTGTTCTGAAGGTCATCTGACCTGAGAGTCTAGAAGGGATGTTAGAAAGTCTTTCGTTTATTCTTCTGCCTCAGGGGGATGCATTACTAAAGTCATCTGAGAAGGGCAGATGGACATTTACATTATTATTATGTGTTATTATTATAATTATTGCTATTCACTGACATTTACTGACTACTTACTATGCCACGCTTTGGGCTAAGAACGTCTCATGCATTATTTTATTTAATCTTCTTAACTTAACCCCCGACCCCTTCAACTAGTTTATTTTTCCTTTTTTTGAGACACAGTCTTACTCTGTTGCCCTGGGTAGAGTGCCATAGCCTCATCCCTAGCTCACAGCAACCTCAAACTCCTAGGCACAAGTGATCCTCCTACCTCAGCCTCCCAACACCCTCCACAACACCCAGCTAATTTTTCTATTTTTGATGGAAATGGGGTCGTGCTCTTGCTTAGGCTGGTCTGGAACTCCTGAGCTCAAGTAGTCCTCCTGTCTCAGCCTCCTAGAGTTCTAGAATTACAGGTATGAGCCATTATGCCTGGCTCACAACTGCCATAATATAATGAGGAAAGAGAGGCAAGTATGATGAGGAGGTAAGTATGATTCCCCGGTTGCACACCTAGATAGCAACTGAGCTGATAATTAAGCCCAGATTGATATGATCATAGGCCTCCCTTCACCTAATCAGAATGCCACACTGCCTCTGTTCTGCAAAGATCTCCAGCCCTATCAATGTCTAACTTGAGGCTTCACTGCTGCCATGGAATTCACTGGACAGCACAGCTTCTCCACTCACTAGAATACTTTTCATGACATCACAGACTGGGAAAATCCAGTCCTTTATTATCAATTTCGGTAGAAATTTTAAAACATGCCTGAAAATTCCTTGACTCTTCTCCTTTCAAAAGGCAGAGCCTAACACCACTCACCTGTCTCTCCCCCTTTGAAGGTGAGCTAGATTTAGTTGCTTGGATCTAATGAAAGGAGTATGGTGGGAGTGATGCTACCTTCTGAGTTAGGTCCTCAAAAGGAGGGCTTCCACAGATGCACACTCTTCCTGTGATTGCTCACTCCAGGGGAAGCAAGTCACCATGTTGTGAGGACAATCATGCAGCCCATGGAGAGACTCACATGGGTGAACGGGGTCCTTCTGCCAACAAGCAGCACCATTTGCCAGCCACGTGTATGCCATCCCCAGAGATGCTCCTCTAGCCCCAGTCAAGCATCTTCAGCTGGCTGCAGCCCCTCACACACCTCTTGGAAGTGTTGAAAAGCAAGAGGTTGAATGTGGGTAGGGCTTGGAGGATGAGACATGAGAGTGGAGAGGGAGAGAGGACCAGCTCCTGCAGGCTGTGCTAAGTACAGAGTTTGGATTCACTTCTGAAAGCAGTGACCTGATCAGATTTGCACCCCTGCATTTCAGAAACATCATTACAGCTGCAATGTGGAGAATGGATTTGAGAGGGCAAGACTGGAGGAGGGGAAGCCAGTCAGGAGGTCATTTCAGAGTTCCTGGGGGAGAAAGACGGAGAGCAGCAGCCTGGTGCTTCAGCGACAGAGAGGACACGGCAGATTTGGAATGACGGAGTCCCAGTCAAACAATCTTTGTTCCTGGTTGGATGCAAGGTCAAAGATGCCCCCAGCATTTTGCAATAAATCTGAAGTGTGGCATTGCTCACAGAGGAAGGGAGCACCAGAGGAAGAAGAGAATGGGGTGGGCGTGGGGGCAGGGTGAGGGCTCCAGTGGCTTTGAACACAGGAGATGTCCCATGGCAGTTAGATGTTTGTGTCTGGATCTCAGCAGAGAGGCCCTAACCAGAGCATGAAGCCGCTGGAGTAGGCAAGGTTATCCAGGGAGACGATATAGACAGGGAGAGAGGGTTGAGAGAATCACACCGTAGCAAACGGAAAGGTGGAGGAAGCAGCGGGAGCAAAGGCAGAGAAGAAAGAGGAGCTATAGGGCAGGTGGGATGAACCCACGGAAGGGGCATCCTGGCAGCCCTCAAGAGAAAGAACTTCAAGAAGGGTTAAATGCTACCCAGAATTCAAGCAAAATAAGATGGTATCTAGCCACAGGGAGCTCAGTAAGAGAAGCTGCAGTGCAAGGTGAGAGCACAAGCCAGACTCCAAAGCTCTGTCTGGAAATGCAGGGCGAGGAGGAGAGACAGCACCAACAGCATCTAAGGGTTTGGCTGTGAAGGAAATTGGAGGGATAGAGCAGTAGTTGACAAGGGATACTCAATGAAGATAATGGTCTCTCCGCTATTTAAAAAAATTGTTTTTAGAGACAGATTCTTGCTCAGTCACCCAGGGTGGAGTGCAGTGGCTTGATCACAGCTCACTGCAGCCTCGAACTCCCAGGCTCAAGCAATCCTCCCATCTCAGCCTCCCAGTTAGCTGGGACTACAGGTACATACCACTGTGTCCAACTAACTTTTATTTTATTTTTTGTAGAGACAAACTCTTCCTATGTTGCCCAGGTTGGTCTTGAGCTCCTAAGCTCAGTGTTCCTCCTGCCTCAGCCTCCCAAAGTGCTGGGATTATAGGTGTGAGTCACTGCACTTTTTTATTTATAAAAGCTCCACACTTTTATTTGCAGGACTGAAAAAGGTCTTGGGTTGCAATTGTTTTTAAGATTGAAAAGACCTAAAAATGCAACTATGCAATTGAGAAAGAGTTGAAAGAGATGGTGATCAGGTGACAATTAAAGGAATAAAGTCTCTAGAGATATTGAGCCAGTGCAATACTTATGTTCCTGTCCAGAAATCCTTTAGCTGTATGTTGAAACACAAGCCATAGAATCCAGTATGTACCTGCTATTACTGACTTTATTGGCCTCAGGAGAATCAAAACTGAATGCCAAAAGTCTAGTTTCAGGGGAGAAGTTATTTATCCAATCTGTAAACCAACAGGAATGATGGAGATTCCCAGCCAAAGAATATTTAGTAACAGAAAATTTAAATACAAACTAAATGTAACCAAGTAATTTATCCCTTTTAATGTGATATCTGCTTTTCATCACAAAGAGAAAACTCTGTGTCCCTGGCTTAGTTATTTGTTGAACACAAGCATTTTTCTTACAAAGTAAGCTTAACAGGGGAAAGGCACATATTTCAACTAAATTAATTTTAACTAAAACTATCTCCTAGGAAATGAAAGCTTGTAATGAGATGAGAGGCATGTTGATTTGCTGTGCTTTAGTGTCTCCCAGAGACCATACAAGAGAAAATGGGCATGAACCCATGAAAATGGGCCATATAGAAGAAGTGCTTCCTCACTGCCCTGGGATGAAACACCAGCCTGGGTTACCATGGAGCCTCTGTTCAGCTGAGCTCGAGAATAGAAGAGTCAGTGATCACATTTAGAAAGTGCTGTTCTTCATTTATACACAAGCAGGAAGGGGGCTGAATGAAGAAATTTCTCAGGACCCCAGCCAACTTTTCTAGGATTCTGCGACCAGATGGGAGGCACTTACACCCTAAATGTATGAGGCTCCCTTCCAGGTTCTAGAGAGTACAGATGCATTCTCAGATGTCTTTGTGACATTCATTTAGCACCCCAGCTTATGTGCACAGTTCTGTGCCTATAGGATGGCAAAGGTAATTGCTAGCATGGCAAGAGCTCAGGGGTAGGCAACATCTACCTTAAACTCTTCCGTCAACCCCAAAGTCCTTCCTCCTCAGGCTTGCTGTGTGGACTAAAATGCCCACTCCAAGAGCTTCTTCTTAGGGTCAGAACACTCCCTTCCCAAGAGCCCTGCTGAAATGCATTGTCCCATAGAAGGTAAGAAATGACTAGAAAAGGAGGGAACCCTTTCTCTCACTCATCCATTTATTTTTACAACAATGAAGACTTTTATAATTTCTTCTGATCTGATTTACTTTCACCACGTAAGGCAGATGTTGGGGTGCAGCAAACATAAATTGTGAGGGGGTGAGAAACTCAGAATAAAGGGAAATTCCAATTTAACCTTTAAGAAGAGGAGAAAATGGAAAATGAAGAGATGTCTTGGGAAATTTGGAGCAGCAGATAGCCCCTGAATTCCTGGGAGGGCAGAGGACCTGAAGAGGAGAAGGCTAGTCTGAAGACTAATTTCACCAGTTTCTGCAGCTATTAGAAAAGATTTAACAAAAACAAATGAAGGCTTTTGACTTTATGACTTTGTAAATTCAACAGATGGTTCATTCAATTTGTTAGCTCAAAAAAACCATTCAACTGGGTGTTCAATCTGGTCAATCTGTTATCTGAAGAAGCACTATATGAATAGATGACCTTGCACAATATAAGACTGTCCTTGAAAAGGACTAATCAAGACTTTACTGATATTCTATTACAGGCAGGAAGACTAGGATATAAGAATATACCATGTTCCAATATGATTCAACTCTAAATGTATACCCATTATGGGGGTAACAGGTCAATTTAAGTGGTGAAGTCTTATACAAATGAAGAAGTGGGAATTCTCCCACTTCTTTGCCTAATGAAAGACCCAAAGAGCATCTGGATTCTTTAGGTTGTCACATTATGGTTATCTGTGAAACACAGAAAATCTTGCACTAATAGAACAGCCAATAAAGTCTGCTGATGTATCTGGAAATCCAGTAAGACATGCATTCACACCAACCCACACACTGATCAGTAAATGCAGACCTAGCCTAGGAACCATAGGAGCAATCTGACTGTGATAACTGGGAGCTCATCAGGGAGCCTGAATCTGGGATGGGAGACTCTCCTTGGTCCCAAAGCTCTGATCACCATGGACAGTTGGGTTTTATACAGAAGCTTCTGCTCTGTGTCCTCAGAACTAAGGCTCAGGCTCAAATTTGGCCAACATGAAAGA